CTTCAGTTTGAATTTGCATATGAGTAATTGATGGTCTGTTACACAGTCTGCTCCTGGCCTTGATTTCACTGATGATATGGAGCTTTTCCATCATCTGTTTCCACAGATGTAGTCAATTTGATTTCTATGTATTCCATCTGGCAAGGTCCATGTGTATAGTCGTCTCTTATGCTGTCTAAAGAAGGTATGTGAAATGAAAAAATCATTGATTTTGCAGAATTCTATCATAAGTTCTCCAGCATCATTTCTATCACCAAAGCCAAGATCCATCCTCTTTGCTCCCAACCTCTGCATTCCAATTACCAGTAATGATCCATACATCTTGATTGCATGTTTGATCAATTTCAGATTGAATAAGTTGGTAGAATTCTTCCATTTCATCCTCACTGGCTTTAGTGGTTCATGCATAAATTTGAATAACAGCGGTATTAACTGAAGAACTACTTCTGAAAACCTTATGAATAGCAGAGAAACATTGTCAGATATAGTGCCGGAAAATGGGCCCCTCAGGTTGGAAGGCACTCAAAATGTGACTGGGAAGAGCTGCCTCTTCAAAGTAGAGTTGACCGTGATGATGTGAATGGAGTAAAGCCCACAGAAACTTCTTTTGCTGGTGAGGCACAACTCAAAATGTAGAGAAACAGCTGTTAACATCCATTGAAAATCAGAGCATGCAATGTACAAAGTATGAATCTGGGAAAATTGGAAGTTGTCAAAAATGAAATGGAATGCATAAACATCGATATCTTAGGCACTGGTGAGCTGAAATGGACTGGTTATGGTCATTTTGAATCTGATGACCACATGGTTTACTATGCCACAAATGACAAATTGAAGAGGAATGGTGTTACATTCATTGTCAAAAAGAACATATCCAGATCAGTCATGAGGTATAACGCTGTCTGTGATAGGAATAATATCCATGCACCTACAGGGAAGCCCACTTAATACCACTATTATTCAAATTTACGCACCAACTACTAAAGCCAATGAGGATGAAATAGAAGAGTGGTATGGAAAGAGAGAAATCACTAAGAGCTAATATATGTACCAGGAATTATGTATCTCTCTCCTCACTAAAATTACATAATGTGAGGGAGATTTTACGATGATCCCTATGCTACAGATGGAGTCCTGTTATGGTGCTATGGGATAAAGCAAAGGACCACAATGTCAGTTTGAAACACAAGGTCAGTGGTTTAAACTCACCAGCTGCTCCTTGGAAACCCTATACATGGTCACTATGAGTTGGAACCGACTGGACAGCGCTTAACAACAATGTTAGAGATGAGAAAATTGAGCGACTGATGTCAACCTATTTGTTCAAATCACACAGACTAGAAATGACAGAACCAAGACTCAAACTCAGTTCATCTGTCCCACTCAGCATCCTTTCTACTGTTCCACACTAACATGCAATCATTGAACAAGCTGAAGTTCCACAGAAACAAGAACACTCTGGTACTAACGGCAAACACACAGAATTATAAAATTGAGGAAGAGGGGCGTGGGAGGGAGGTATATGGGCACAAGGTGCCCAGAGAAGGTCTAGGGAAATTATCATTTTTCAAAATGTTACTCTTTGATTTAGACGGTTGGCCTTGTCACTCTGTAGTCTCAAAGAAGTTAACACCCACACAAACATTTCATCTCCGTCTCCGACAAATACAATGGCCAGCAAGTCTTAGGACTGGCCAACACCACTGAATGCCTGTTGTTCTCATTCACTTACATACCGCCCCCTCACTTCACCCTGTCCCCTGCCCTGGAATGTCAACGGGGATGCAGGTGCCAAGGAGCATCTTCCCTCATGGGTTTTACATCCAACTTCCCAAAGGATTTGTAAGCATCAAAGAAAGCACAGGGTTTTGAAGTTCCCTGGTCCTTCTTTAAATTACTTCCCTTTCATTTTAGTATCTGCTCACCTCGCTATACTTAAACAGCAATGCTTCCCCACCCTGTTCCCACCCCTTCCTCCTCAACTGGGATAACTGAAATCTTGGTCACTGTTTAAAATATACTTTTACTGATGTTTCCCCTGATTATTAGAGTATTACATTTTCACAATTTGGAAAAAAATAAAACTAAAAATCGAGGCAAGTCCCACCATCCAGAGAGATTAGTTATTAATATTCCCTTTGCATTTTAATAGGAACTCTGGTGGCACCATGGTTAAAGCACTCAGTTGCCTACCTTCCAAAAGGTTGGCAGTTCAAACCCAAAAAGTGCTCAGTGGGAGAACGATGTGGCAGTCTGCTCCCATAAAGATGGCAGCCTTGCGAAGCCTATAAAGCAATTCTACTCTGTCCTATAGGATTGCTAAAAGTCAAGCTTTTTTTCCACTGATAATCTCCTAAATATGTTCGTTCTCATGCTAGCTAGAAGTCAGAGTGAGAGGCAGAATCTATGCATTTAACCACTTCCCTCTTGCTGAACACTCTGACTTCCAGACCCTGAAATGCTTCTGCTTTCTTACTGGTCTCACTGTCTCCCTGCTCTGCGGGTGGGCTGCTCGCCCTGCCCTTCCCCCACTCTCCTCCCCTAGGCTGCAGAGTTGTCTTTAGGAGCCCCTCACTTCACATCCTGCTTACAGCTCTGCCTCTAATGGTCTGAGTATGCTGAAGAAGGGATATCATGGTTACAGCCCTGCCCAGCCTCCTGCTCCTCCATGCAGTTCCACTGGAAGTCTCAAACTTTTACGGGATAAGAAAAAACTAACTGTGAAGGTGTGCTTATCAGTGCTTATAATTTACCTCCTACCTGTGTACCTAATTCCTGCTTCTTCAAGATCCCTCCCAACCATCGTGTCCTCTGAGAAGACTTCTCCGATTCCGTCCCTGGGCAGAGGGATATTCCCAAAGACATAACCTAAGAGTGTCATCTCTGAAGCAGCCTGCCAGAGTTCAAATCCTAGCCCCACCACTTCCTAGCTGTTAACCTTTACAGCAGGTTACTTAATTTCTCTGGGCCTCAGTTTTTTCACTTGAAAAATGAGGACCCCTTATACAAATGCACATTGCACTGAAATCATTCACAGAAAGCCTGAGAAAGAGTGCCTGGTATCCAGCAAGACTCACACAGAAGCTGTGAGGACGTTTCCTGAGCCCCTGCATGAAGGGGACTGTAACATTGCTTATCATTTTTCATTCAGGGAACTTTGAGCTTCTTGAAGATGTCTTTGCATGTCATCTGGGTAATGACCCCATGTATGGCACATAGGGGCATACTACTTGATGGACAAAAGTCCCTCTCCCATCCCCACATTGCCCAGCACTGTACTCACGTTTCCTTTGTTGATGTAGGTGGTGACCTGCCCCTCGTCCCTGATCTCAGAAAACATGGGGGCCCCCACCAGCAGGTCAGAGAGGCCATCCGCGTTCAGGTCAACTGCGCATAAGGAGGAGCCGAAGTAAGAGCCCATCTGCAACCAAGTCGAGTCGCAACAAAGCATTCAGTGTCTGCCCTCTCACACAGAGGCCCCTGCTTTCCTCAGGCCCACTGGTGTTAGAAACATTTGCTCCCAAGTTGCCCATAAGCCATGATACCTATCCCAATAGTGAAATATACCCAACTTCCCTGGGCCTCCGGCCACCATGCAGAACTTCCAACCAGCTAGGAACAGAACTCATTGGCTCAGAGGCCCCCTCCCTGGAGCCCAACCAAGTAGAAGACAAATAGTCCAATCCCCCAAGCATGAGGGATTGTTTTTAAAAATGCAAGCTCAAGTTGCAAATATAGGTTATAACCACAATGTAAGTATCTCGTATATCAGACATTTGACAAGGCCAAGCAAGGTAGAATATAAAATTTCACAATATAAGCCAGACAGCAAAATAAATGTGAATGATGGGATATAGGTTACCCTCTTTAAGTCTTATACCTATAGACTGATTCAAAAGGCATGAGCTACAATGACAGGAGTGGGTAAAATTCATGAGACGGCTCTACACCTAAGAGAACAGAGAAAATTTACAGGTACTGACTCTTTTTTAATCACTGTATAATCCAGTGTCTATTATTTGAAATCAGGGGCCTCAGTCTCACAAATATCTGTGAGATTGAGGCAGGTGATGTAATAGATAAAAGAAAAAACTAAATGACAGTTTAAGTGTGCTTACAGGTGGCAAGTAACATTTGACTTCAAGGAGTCCTGGTGTGGCGTTATAGGAAAAGCACCCGCCTACTAACCAGAGGTTAGCAGTTCAAATCTACCAGTCACTCTTTAGAAACCCTACACAGGGTTGCTATGAGTAGGAACTGACTTGACAGCACTTACCAACAACAACACAGGTGGCAAGTGACAATTGGCTTCAAGGTCTATAAAGCAATAGGGAGTGATGGAGACTGTGGTAAACTGAAGCTCACAGGTCCAGCAGAAGAAGCAGTTCCTAATCAGCAGCAGCCACGCACTGTGTTTGAATTGTATTTGAATGGTCTGTTTTTTAAATGTTGACAACTTATTCAATATGCGAAAACAATAATAAGCAAACATCAGGCAGACCAAACAAAAATTTTTGCAAGCTATGTCCCTTCTAGGGGCTGCCACTTTACAATCTCTTGTCTCAAAAAATACATAAAAACCATCCTTTAAAAATAAAGGTTTTCAAACACAAGGAGGCTCTGGTTTGATTTATGTGCCCAAGCATTCTCTTCTACTATTGGCGTTAGCTGGGGGCTGGCCCAAAGGGGTCTGAGAGAGACGATGACACTCCAGTTTTATTTCTGGCAGCTAACCCTGGAGGGACAGGTGGACTCTGAAGTGGACTCTCAGAAATCCATCCCCAGTCACATGCCAAGGCCACCTCTTCTCAAACCACTGCCAAGCATCATCACCAAGGTTCTCAAGGCAGAAGGGCACAGGGAAGTTTTCAAATGAACTTCTGTGCTGGGGGAAGGACAGACACCAGGCTGCCAGTCACTAATCCAGCCTCCCCATCAGTGCTTTGATAAAGGAAACAGGCCAAAGCCCCAGAGAATGAAGCCAAAGGCAACTCTCTCTAACTGAGCCCCAGGGGAACTATTTGTTTTGTTCCAATGGACTATTTAACTTGGCATCTTCTTCAGTGTTGTATCAGAAATTCCTGCACATGAAGCTCCCTATCTAAGTTTTGACATGCAAATGCTTCATAAACTTGGTTAATTCAATAACGCCGAATGCAGCAATGACATGCTTCGGCGTGAGCATTCCCAGATGAGAGCTCTCTTAGCAGCCTGGAAGAGTGGGAACACGTGTCTGTATCAACATCCAAAGTGTGCATTTACTGGTAATTTCTCATGTGTACTATAGAAGGCATGTTGTTGTTGAGTGCCACTGTTGGCTCCAACTCATAGCAACCCTGTGTAGGGTTTCCAAAGAGAGGCTGGGGAATCTAAACCGAGGCCTTTCAGTCCAGTGCATTATCCCACAGCTCCACACCAATGCGTATCAACCGATAAAGGCCAGAATTCGTTTTTGGTGTTTTAGTTTTGTTTCTGGGTGTTTTTTTTCTGAAGGTATCTGACCAAATTCTTGTAAAAAGCAGAAGTGGACTTGTTTGCTGCCTTAGACCCTTTCTCTATATACATGGTTCCAGATACAGGAGTAAAGCTAAAGGCATCCTTAGAAAGCCTGGGGTCATGTCCTTTTCTTAGGAGGCAACAGAGAAGTCAGAGAACAGTAACCTATTTCAAAATAAGATCTCATTTCTTCTGGCAAAAATTCAAAGAGAGAAAATGGCCTAAAAAGTACACAATGAGGGGTAAAGCTAACTAGAGAGAGTAATGAGTGGTCTAACTCAACAAAGGTTCTGAACTGGGACCAGGGCCACATGGCCCAGGAAGGAAACAATCATTTATCCCTTTTCTCAGGCGAGTGGCAGATAAAATCACTATCCAACATTCTCCTGTCTCCAGGAGTTTCCCTCCCCAAATCCCAGGCATCCTATGTGTCTGCTCAGAGCTCACAAAGGCCTCCATCAAAATCAGTCTCTAAAACTGTGTCAGCCCCTAAACCACGTCCCTCCTCTCCCAGTCTAGACTTGTACTCCCTCAGAGCAGGCAATCTCAGCTAAGCAATCCTATTACTCTAAGACACACTAAGGTGTATGTGCCTCAGAGTTC